TGTATATATATATATATATATATATATATATATATATATATATACACACACATATATATACATGCATATGAGAAAAGAACATGAAAAATCCGAATATTGATTTTGATCAATATACGACACATATATACCCTTTTGACTAGAGTTACTTACTTTTCAGTTCTCGTCCTTCAGCATTACAATTTCCCTTGTCCAAACAACAATCAATGTAACTCTTCAATATTCTGTCATTCTCTAGAATTTTATCCACATCGATATTATCATATTTCGTTGGATATTTTTCTTCGTCTGCCAACACAATGGCTAGGACACCTAACATAAAGAATGAAAATAACAATCGACTCATGATCACTATTCAAGCACGATCTTCACTTCTATTCGGAAATTATGCTTATGAGGTCTAGTCTCCCCACGGCACTTTTATATATTCAAATATTTGGTGATGACGAATCAGACAAGTAATTTCATTACGAGAAGGAAACATTAAACCTGTTTATTATCATACGAATAAAAAGTTTTTTGTTATCGTAATGGATACCCTTGATGGCTGTTTTTTTCATAGAATTATTAAAATACGTAAATGGTATCAAAGATGAAGAGATAAGTGATGGATGAATCGATGTACGAAGGTGAAGGCTATTGACGTCATTATCCTGTAAACATTTAGGAGAAAAAACATATTTGAAAAATATCAACTGAATCGACCTTTTTGCAGGAAGAAAATTTTCTCTCTAGTGATGAAATTAGTAATAAAAATAATCGTTCTATATTGATATTTCATTTATTGAAATTTCTGACATCGACATTGATACTGACAGACATTCTTTATTATAGTGACCGTAACAATGAGTTAACATTCAAGTAACTGACCTTTTGGATCTAAAACAAGCACTTTTCCTAAACCAGAAATGCAATACGGTAGATACGTGTCGAGATGCCAATGATTTGTTTTTCCACAAAGATGGCATCTTCGAAATCTATATTGAAATTTGATTTGAAGTAGTTTTTTTCATGATATCTTCTCAAAAAATAACATTAGTCATCGATATTATAAATATTAATAAAAAAGCTACGTAAAAAAGTCGATTAGCTTTTCAAGAAAATACTGAACTACTGGAGGGTAGGTCGCACCTTCCTTAGGGAGTGGATGTTACAACATTGAAACTTTCGAATGTACCAAGCGGCTTTGAGTTTATTGGCGCCATAAATGCCAAATATGAGAAACTGGCCTCGATTCGTTTTCATTGGTCCATCATATGCCTGTGAATTGATTTCAGGTCCCACTGTCGCAAACTGACAGTACATAGGTACCTCAAGAAAAATAAAAATTGTTACACAGACATTTTCATTGACTTTTCTATAAATATTTTACTCTTTGGCCAAGGAAGAGGCTGGACTATGAATTTTAGGACACAGTGGCATTTACGGCCTGATGACTTCGACAATTGCGGAATTAGCCAAACGTCACACCAATGCTCACTCCCTAAAGAGATGGGATGAAATCAAAGGATGCTATCTTACCAGGATCACCCTTGGCACCCTGGGAAGCTGGCACCGAAGAAATATCTGGCGATAACCAGGAAAAATCTACGCTTAACAGTAGGATTTCTGACTGGCCACTGTCAACTAAGCAAACACCTCCACAATATGGGGCTAGTGGACACACCTCTATGCAGGATGTGTGAACAGGAAGATGAAACTGTCAGGCATGACATATGCAAATGTTGTCTATAAGAGAGTGTGTGTTCGGCGAGTCTTGGCCTAAACCTGCCGATATAAAGGAGATGTCTCCCAGAGACCTGTTCACCTTCCTGGAAAGGACAGGATTGACGATGCCCAAGGAGGACAACTCCTTGGAAGGATGTAAAATAGGTCACATGTGGCCTAAGTGATGTAGGCCTACACTCACTCTCCCTACTCTACAGACACATATCAAAAGTGAACTAGGAAACGAATTTTGTCAGCGGTCGATGTCGAAGCTTGGCTTTGCAAATGTCCGCATTGAGGAGCCTCTGTCGATCCCATAGATGTCGTTGTTTGGGAAAGATGTCATCATCAGTATTTGCCCAGGCTTGTTCTTTAAGGACAGTCGTGTCAAGTAATACAATTTGTAAATCAGTCTAGCATTACTGATGAGACCCATGGCGGGTCGAAACAGCGACTGTTTTGGATTTCAAATTGAAAGTTGAAATTTCAGTTCGAACATTAATTTTCGTATTATCGATCGAAATTTTCGAAATTTGTTGGGAGGCTGATTATTTTGAAAGTGCAGGAACAATTTATAATGAATATGTGACAATTCTTTTAATGATCGAAATAAAATTGAAAAAATCCTTTTCTCTTAGGAATTCTCCAAAGAAACATCAAATTCATAAATCGAAAATTACAACATATTTGAAAACTAATGCTTTTTTGACTTAATTGTTTGGATAACTAAATATTCAACAAAAACTTTTTTCCTTTGTACCAGAACCAAGAAATACTATTCTGAACAACTGTTACTGCTATAAAGTTACATGAACTTCTTTAATGGAATCTCAATAAGGAAGACAAATGTGTGTATATTCCACTTATAGTTTCATCATGACTAGTTGAAACTAGTTTCTACCAAATTATATTTGATTTCAGTATTAATACTATGATTCGAAATGCGAAGATGATTTTGTGGAAAGCAATGTTTGTAAAACATTCTGCTCTTTATTTAAAACATAAACGAATTCTACAATAATGTATTTTTCAACCTCACCAATAGGTAAGCAGAATCCCAAATATAATGGTAGAAAAATTTTTTTCCCGGTTAGTTTTGATCTATTCTGCTGTGTACGTCATAGTCATGATCAATTTTATTTGAATATTCCAACTAGCAATGAACAGGTTGAGAAAGTTATACTAATGGAAATTTGAACTTCTTTCACGGTGTTTAATTGTAGAAGTGGACAATGACAAATCGTTTGTTATTACCAAATAAGCCAAGATGTTATTCAAGTTATTGGATGATTTTTTTATCATACTTGATATTCCCAATTTGTACACATCTCTTTCTGTCTCCTGCTTTACCAACATTGCTATCCAGGTAATGAAATTATTATCTGTGTTATTAATTATATATCAACTACAATAATATTGTGATAAGTTGACGATTTTGTGTAAATATTTTTGTCTTGTTTGTGTTCATACAAAGTACTGTTAATTATATTTGTTGGCCTTCATTTCATGCGACTTCTGGTTCTGGCTCCAAATCATCTGTGAACTTCGGCCGTCTTACATTGTGGAGTTTTTTTTTAAAAAGTCGATGGCAGTACACAGGCAGAATTTTCATATTTCATACTTACGTTTTCAGTATTCTAATGTCTAATTTTCACAATAGATATATCTTTTCCATATTATTACAAAGTGTTAAAACAACGATAAAAATAAAATAAATACAACAATAAAAATTACTTTTCCATCTGAGATAATTTATAAATAAAATGATAAAAATGTAATTGCTTGATCACATTTCTACTGAACGTAAATATCTCATCATGTTCCTTATGTTTCACGTTTTCATTTCCTCTGTAATCTTTATTTGGTGAAACATTGGCCTGCAATTTTTTTTATTTCGAGTTTCGTGTTGTTTTGGATTGTTTTATCCGACTGATTTTGATAATTTTATTAATTTGATACATTTAATTTCTCACCATTAATTCCTAAAGATAATGTTGACAATAGATCTTTATTTCTCATAAAAAGTAGGCAAAATAAATAAATTCACACGATAATCAATAACAATTATGGAAAAACATCAGAAATCAGGTGATCAATGTAATTTATACAAATTACGTTAATGAATATCTTTTCCTAATGAAATATTCTTTTTTTTAAGAATTGATCTGATGAAACAAATATTCTCGATGTGCTAGTTTCATAAATTATTCCTTTATTTTCACTACTTCGAAGAGTAAGCAACTCTCATTTGATATAAAACAAAAAGCTGTCTGTAAAGCAGTATCCATATGCTTTTAATTTACCTGAAATTTTTGAAGCTACAAACAATAAATGCATAATTCCATTGAATTTCGAACCATACTATAAACATGATAAGGAAAGCTTCAGTTTATTGGACGAATCTAGCAAGTGAATGGCACTCACCATATAATGATGCAATAAATTAATGAGCGATTTCATTTCCTGAAATCATTAGCGTTGTATTAACATCGGAGTAAAGGAATTGAAAAAGACACATGTATGTGCCATATTAACACCGTTTTCCGAATATGTATGCCAATCAGATGAATAAGATTTCAGTTGAGTTAGAATAGTTTTCATTCATTCGAATGAAATGTTATGGAAATGTATGTAAATTACATTCACTTGGTCCCTGCAGTCCAATGACCCTGATACAAACCCAGTGAAGGTGCTCAGCTCCACAAGTTTCAAAAGAAACCTTGTTCTTCATAGAAGTATGATGTATATTGAAAACACAGAGATCAGTGAAGTGAGCAAATATAATTGGATATATAAAATATATAGTTTATTCTTTATGAATATAGAACCAACTGTTATTCGTCGTAACGCTTATTTTGCTCATGTAATGGTAATAATAATATGTAGAAAAAGTATAATTGAGGGAGTCTTGACGAAAAACCGATGCCTCTGGAGAAAATCCGTTCTATTAGGTTATTTCTCGGAATTCGATGAAGTCCTAATCAGGAACAGCCATTTTGCCTGTTCCTGATTAGTAAAAATTTGACCGGTGATGAAGTTATCGAAGTGCTTGGGTGGGTGAGGCAGAACTCCGGCGCTCAATTCGTTCAATTTTCGGGCCGTGATTTGAGAAACGTGCACACAAGCGTTGTAGAGCAGAGACAGGGTATTGTGAAGCAGGATCGGATCCCTTCTGTTGACCAGTAACGGCTGGTACTGATGCAATTTTCCACAATAGGACTCTGCTGTGGTGGTTGGGCCCGGTTGCAGAAAGTTATAATGAATCGCACCAGTTGCTGACCACTATACAGTAACCAAGATCTATTTTGGGTGGTTTTTTCTTCTGGGAAGTGTCCAACCACTGTCCTGAACGGCTTCTATTGCCGTAGGGGATCCACTTTTCATCACACGGGACGATCCGATCCAAAAAAGGATCGTTTTGGTTACGCAAAGCAAATATTTTCAGTCTCCACCAGAGTCCTCAAATCCTCGTCCTGGATTATTGTACGTCGACCATTTCCGGGTTCGTCTTCGAGGCTAAAATCTCTTGAACGAAATTTTGCAAACCAACGTCATTAATAATAATAATATGTTTATTTACCAGCAATAGAAAGAGTTTCCAATACATCATATGCAATTTCAGATAGAATAGATCTAGGTAATAAACATCGAGAAAACCCATTAAAACCCTAAGGTTGTGCATGGGAATTCTTTACTTATTGTATTACCAATAAATGACAATATTCTGGACCTGAGAAGAAGTAAATGACAATGACAATGAGAGGAGAATTGAAAATTCAGTTCATTTCTATAGCGATGAAAGTAGATAAATTTTGATAAGTTATTTGTTATCAATTATATTTAATATTATTTCATGATCTACATTGAGGAGATACTTTTTGAATATATTTTTTATTAGTGGTATCGAGTTGACTTTCCTTAGCTTATTTCTATGTATATCGTCTAAAAAGTTATAGAATTTTTTTGCTAAAAAACTGAAACAACGTTGTCCCACCGATTGTTTTGTTGTCTGTATTTGTACGAACATTTTTGCTTTGTTTCTTGTGGAATAACTATGCTATAACTATTGAAGGGTGATTTTATTTTTACTTAGGAAAATTGCTATGTCGTGTAAATATAACTTTCTGACGCTGAGGATAGCTGCATCCTCAAAAAGCTTTTTTGACGGATACGTATATTTTTTTTTGGTAAATTATTTTCAAAATTTTTTTCTGTACTATCTCAAGTTTTTGAAGATGGGTATTAAGTACACCACCCCAGCTAAGGATACCATATCGCAGTCGTGACCCTAGATATCGGACTCTCTCTGCTTGTTTGATGGCGATCTGTTGATTGGTTTTTCCCAGTGTGATTTCCTTGAACTTAGGTAAGTTAGTTCTGTAACTCGAAAAAGGTATATAAAAAGTTTTGTCAAAATTTACGGTAAGCAACTTATGATCAAACCAATTGATAATATTCAACAGATCGTTTTCCATTTTCATTTCCAGACTCTCCCAGGTTTCTGCAGTGCATAGAATGGCAGTGTCATCAGCGAAGCTCACAATTTGACCTGTAGTTTCATGGATGGTGAGTAGACTATTTATATATAATGAGAAAAGTAGTGGCCCTAGCACTGTACCTTGTGGTACTCCATATTTTATAAATTTCTCTTCGCTGATTCCATTTCCTATTTTCACATACTGTTTGCGGCAACTCAAATAATCTGAAAATAATTCATTTGCCACACCTCGTATTCCTGAATCTTGCAGGAAGTCCAACAGCTGTTGGTGATCCACAGTATCGAAAGCCTTTGCAAGATCCAGGAACACACATGCGGTTGGTTTACTTTCATCCATCAACTTATATATCTCACTGGTAAATTTGGAAATTGCATCATTGGTCGATAATTTTTCTCTGAACCCGTACTGCAGGGATGATATCACGTTATTCTTATTAACACTATCATTGCCAAATGCCATGGTTATTTTTACCCCCCTACCCTGCCATCAAACCGGAGTTTATTTTGCCATAGAAATTTTGAAATAAATAAAGTTACTACGTTTTGTATTGATATTTCAGTTTTATTTATTAATGTTAGAATTATGTTGTATATTTTTTCATCGAGTGTAGCTAAAAGCACTCTCATATTGGTTGGAAACAAAACATTCGACACGTTTTAAGGAACGTAATCCTACATATTATCCTTGTATTGCATGTTTTGCTCGAGCTGATTTACCATTTGTCGGCATGTTAGTATGTTAACATATAATGAAAGCTTATTTTTACAAACATTTTTCATTATCAATTTACTATTTTTATATTCATCAATTTCATTGAGTGACTCTAGTGCTCCTCAGATTATTCTCGTTGAATGTTACAGGGAGACTGACTTGGGAGAACTACGAGTTAACGTCAGATCCGTTGCTGAAGTATACATTTTTTGTGTTCTACAAATATCCGTTTTTCATAAGTGAAGCCATTCAAATTTTTCTGCTAACCATCTAGTTGATGGCTTGACCACTGGCTTGATGGGTCAAATATTATCAAGTGAGTTGGGTTGCGAAGATTATGCTGCATTATGACTAGCATGTGTTCACTAAATCTTGAAACACCAATGAATAATTTGTGTCAATAATATTATTATATGATTTTGAAAGCCCCAAATTTTTTCAAATACACTTTCGTACATTTCACTAATGGGATTTAGAATATTATATAAAAAAATATCGTCAAAAGTTCTATTCATTATGTGAAGTTATTCTATCTTTAAGAATTCTAGATTCCAATATAATTGTTATAAGGAATGTTATATAATTTGACTTTTTTGTAGTATCCACTTTATCTTTCAATTTAGTATTCAAATTGTTTATGTATCTCTTTGCTAAAACTTATAGTAATAATCCTTAATGTACGTGACACAATTCAAAATATACATAGATATCACAGTTGAAATTTGTTATTCAGTAAATAACTGCTCAATTAATAACTGTGGTATCCATGTATATTTTAAATTTGTTATTCAGTAAATAACTGCTCAATTACAAACTGTGATATCCATGTATATTTTAATTTGTGTCACTTACATTAAGAATCGTTACCATGAATTCATGATTGCATGAAGAAAAGTTTTGACAACGTACTGAAAGAAGACTAGAAATTGTGGTAGTGGTTTTGAATTGAGTTAAGGTCGAGTCCAGACATACTACTTTCTGACTTTCAGTCACGGATGGACCCTACTATTTGTTTATTCGAAAACTAAATGGAATTTAATACTGATGGAGCCACAATAATCAATTATTTGGATCTCCCATTTTCTTCATTCGAGATTAAAAATTCACCGACAGTTTTCTAAAGAAGAATTCCCATTAGAATGCTGAAAATATAATGGGAAATAATAGTGTACAGCAGAAAATGACTTTCTGCAGTTAAATTCTTTGTTATTTGTATAAACAATTGAAATGAGTTTATAACGATCTATATTGAAAAATGTTGAGAGGCTGTCGTTGTTGATGAATGAGAAGAATTCAATAAATGAATATTATTATGATCATTATCCATCAGAAACTGGAATCATTTCTCAGTTCTGTACCCAAAATAATTTTGGAATTTCTCAGTGTCAAGGTTCTGGAGAAGAGATTTGAAAACATCACAGTTATCAATTTCCAATTTATTCAAAGGAGTTTAATGTATTCATTAATTCACAGTTCAATTAAATTTCACAGAAAAAGCAAAAATGATCTTATTCTACAATTTTTGAATCACCTTCAGAAATCTAGTCTTTCTCAGCTAAAGCATCGTCGATGAATTTTTGGTATCTTGTCCTGTATTTATGGTCTGGGTCGAAATGGTCACAAAGTTCTTTCCACCATTCAGGCTTCTCCCTGTAGAGTTTTTTACCAATTTTTTTCATTGTTTTCTTGTGAAGTTCGCTGCATTTATCACATTCGTGTTCCATTGCATCTCTTATATGACCTGAGGAAAATACGTGTTTTTCATTATTGATTTGGGACAGTGAGATTTGCAAAATATTTCATCAGTGGAAAAAGTGAAATTTTTTTGACAAACATTATAGTTTTGCCAATCTTTCAACCAGTTTTGAATGTAAAATATTTATATTTCTATATATAATCAAGAAATACGTGTTTTGGAATATTCCTCCAGTAAAGTAGCACGATTCTGGTACGTTTAATCAGAATTATGTAAAAACAGGTTTTGAAAGACACATTTCATATGACACGAATAATTCAGATGGGCAGATTGAACGAGTTGCTCAATCAAGGTTAACTTCGTTGGGAGGCTGGTTTCGTTATTTTCTTCTAAAACTCTGACATTGAAGGTGGATTTTTATATAGGGTGAATATAAATTTTCACAATTTTTATTCGAAGTCTCCTGCCTAAATTGAATTATTTATCGAATTTCAGTTTTATGTTTGGCAAAGAAATACAGTAAATATAAACATTTATCAATTTTTATTTTTTTTGAAGAATTTAAATTATTTGAATATATGCTATCTCAGATTTATCCAACCCCCTCTTCTAACACCTTACATCCAGAATTATTTAGGTTTCCTATAAATCAGTTTTCTTTCGGAAATGTCTATCCATTTTCCATCAACGCTTTTGCTGAATACCCACTGTCTTTCTGATTTACATCAACCAGACAATGAAGATGATAGAACGTTAAATATTACATGATACGTTACATACTACATGATAATATAAAACTCCGAGAACGAACACTTTCAACGAGATCAAGCAAAATAAACCTTAATAATGAAAAAGAAACTCAGAAAGAAGATACAATCAGAATATGAAACGTAGATTATCGTCTTTTCAGTCAAATTTTCGGAAACTCTACCTGATGTACGTATTCTTTCATTGGCAGGATTTTTCAGAGATTCTTTTCATCTTTCTACCACAAGAACTGATAAGGAGAGCTAATCACGATTGATATCACGATATCAGAATATCAAATGAAAAAAAAAGTAACATGTTTTCTAATATTGAGGACAATATATGCAATCAATGCAAATGGAAGAACTGTATCATTATATAGACAAGCTATTAAAAAAATAGCTCTGGGTTATGAGTCATACGGCTTGTAACACCTGGCTGAGTTATTGGAAAAGAAAATGTATTGTGAATACTTACTATTATTTTTAACTCAATGGATCAATGGAAATACTTTATTGACATAATACATACTCTCAGATATGTTCGAATGCTTATTGCGGATGAATATTCTCTAATTCTTCTCTTTTTCGAATCAGTAAAAGTATAATAATATGGGAAATGTGTTCAAGGAAATAGCTCCCAGCAACATATATTCAACTGGTCTATCATTAAATCAGAAAATGTACAGAGCGAGAAAGCATGTAGAAGTGAAGTTATCAAAAAGAAGTGGCGTTCACACTTTTTCAAGATGTTTTCATGTTGGGTTGGCATATATTGCTCCACATATTCGGATATCATCAACTAATTTCATTTAAATTAATTTGAAATCCCTGAAATAGTCTGTAAAAAATTAGCTGAAAAATAATAATTATATTATGTAAAAAACTGAAATTACAAGCAACACGGAACATTTTCAACGATCTTCAACCAAAAGTTCAGAAGTTATATAAAAAAATATCGTCAAAAGTTCTATTCAATCGTCCTCATTTCCATTGAAAACTCATTTCAAGAGCCCGTTTCAGTTGTGTAGATCTTTTGAAATTACAGTATTTTCATCATAAAATAATGATTTGATTGACGATTTTTTTTCTGAAACTGAGTGAATCGTAGCTTGAAAACAATTATTTTCTATATTTTATTGAATGAAACAGAATACATTTCATTTCACATCTGATTATTTCGTGAAGTGTTCTTTCTATAAATCAAATATGTAATTCCATGCAAATACATATTTATATATTTTAAAGATTTGATGTTGTATTTCCATAGTAAACCTTGGCCCGAACGTTTTCGGTACTGTCAAACTCGAAAAAACGATGTTGACGATGTAAATTTCTATGTCGATTATTTCTCCATTAGAATTTTCAAAAATTATGATTTTATTATATTTCCCGAACAAATTTTCATGACAAACATCTCAGGTCATCTCGAAAAGATAGATCATCTGAGGATCTATCGATATGTCTCGAAGTTATTTCACTGAAGAATTTTGTTTTTGAAGATTTTCCTGGAGGAAAGCATAAAGACTTCCTTTCTTTGGAAGACTCCCTCATCCTTCTTTTTTTGTATCAAGATGGAGTATTAGAAAGCCAAAAACTTTCTTTCCCAAAAAACATAAAGACATTTTTGAAACTATTTTTTTGTAACAACTATCGAACCACCAGGTATTCACCTATGTAAGCCAATATTTTAAGGGAGAGCTAGTCACGGGGAAACCAAATTTGAAATAAAATAAAGGGTGTTCCATTTAAAAAATTAGAAAAAAATGTACTGAAGTTTTGATTCACCCTGTGTCGAAAGCCAAGGTTATTAACTTTGCTTTCCGAATAAAAGCAAAAACTACATTCCAGAAACATTTTCATAACAAATGGTTGAATAGATTGACTTTCTGTCGTCTTGTTTTGACATAACTTCTGAAACGATCGGTATATACCAATGTTGTCTCATACTTTTCATAAGTAGTTTCCGGAAACTTGGAATGGAGAGCAATAAAGTTTAATACGTTTGAAAAATATCAAGTTTGGTACGTCATGTTTTTACTGGGTACCTTGTACCCATATTGAATAATATTACGGAAAAGTCCTATGCATTGACGTATAAAACTTTTAGATGGAAGATTTTTTGATAACTTCACTTGAAGTTTGTAACAGATGATCACTATGCATTGTAAGTTACACCTCTATTCCTTCAAGAAACGTTTAACAAACGTTTTCCAATTGCATAACTTTCTACATAGTGAAATTTAAACACAGGTTTCTCAAAGGAATTTTCAACACAATATCTTATAACAAGTAAACAGTAATGAAGAGATAGTTTGAAGTAGGTATTTGAAATATTTGAAAAAGAGGTTGAGAAAATCAGTGAGAATTCTAAAAAATATAATGAAAAATTCTCGAAAATAAACTTGACTTTCAATAGCTTTAGTAATTGCTCAATAAACCACAATTTCACGTGATTTTAGTTTATCTATTCGGAATTGAAACTATTGTGTGAGCTACTAATAATTTACATTCATTATCAGGTTCAAATGTCCAGTTCAGTTCGGTACTACTAAATTTTAAGAAGTATATATAGAAAAACTTACTTTTCAGTTCTTGACCATCAGGGGTACACCTTCCTTTTCCCAAACAACAATCGATGTAGTTCTTGAAAATTCTGTCGTTATTCAGAATCGCGTCAATATCTATATTATCGTATTTTGAAGTATATTGTGGTATATGCGATCTGTCTTTTTTTTCGTGGGATAGCACAAGTACAACCCCACCAAGTAGAAGGAAAAAAAATAACAACCGATTCATATTGACTTCTTCAAGAACAATATTTGTTCATGTAAATGTGAAACTGCCTTGTCCTTTTATATGATCCAGTTTGATCAGCGGGGGATGACGCGTATACGAGATTCGTTTGCAAACCAGAAAAATGCACAAAAACCTGTTTGTACGAGTAAAAATCCCAAAAGGAATATTTTGCTGTTTGTGGGATTCCTTTATTCAGAAGTGATTGAAATACTTTTAATCAAATGAATATGTCTCATAGTGAAAACATAGAATCGTTTTTGAAAATTATCAGGTTAATTGACCTGACTTTCATTCTAATATGAACGAATTTCAGAAATAGGACTATAAATTTGATAATTTTTTATTACCCATGCAGAAACTTGAAAATAGAGCTTTCCATATTCCTAGCATCATACAAACGTTACTGTGAGTTTACAATTTTTGTAATAGCTATAAAGTTTCTTGCTAAATTATAGACGACATGTCACATAGGTATGGAATCGATAGTATTGTTGAAGGTAATTTATTAATGGTTTGAAAACTTCGAATCATTTTCACCTACTTTGAAGGACCTTTCATATTCTGCATACCGTTTTAGGAAATTTCGACTACATTGTACCACATAAATACTATCACAAGGGTTGGAAACTTAATTATTTGGACTCCTAAGAAATTCATAAGCATAAGCATTGCAGTTGTAACCTGCTAAATGATCAAATCGATCTAGTTTATTCCAAGACAAAAATGGTCCCACATATTCATGTAGTTGACAGAACAATGTTAAACTGAAGAAAACATGTCACTAATAATCATTTCTGAAAAAGTGGAAGTCGAATTAAATATGTTTAATGCTAAAGAACATTTACTTGTTTTATGGAAGTTATTTCGAAAGGAGTTAAAAGGCACATCTCTTCATTTATTGGCTTTCTGTATTATCATCAGAGATCAGTTTGCATAGGATTGATTCTATTGGCGGCTTCCACCTAACACATTTTTGAAATTTATTAGCAAACTTTCAATTAAGTATTTGAATGAATAACAGAACGTTATAGGGTGCAAATATCAGAAACGAACAGAAGATCAAGAAAAATATTCAACGAAAGTCATTTTTTGTGGAGGAAAAAATCAGTTTTTTATCAAGAAAAACCTGTTCACAGCAAGTAGTTCAGAATCAAAACTGTTGTCATAACCAGTAGAGGAGAGAACCTTGCCTGAAAATTTGCCAACAGGCATCCGAAACTGATGAGAAGTCAACAGCTTCAACGATATTTTTCTGAACACAAATAATGATAATAATAATAATATTGATGATGATAATAACCCTTGTAGGTATCAAGAACCTTGCTGCTTCAGGTCAAGATGGGCTGAAAACTTATGAGTTGAAAAATCTGGCCAGATGTTTCAACTCATCTTATACATACGAATACTCACCGCAGTTGATGGAGTATTCGAGCGGATATATGAGCAGAGCATGTCGAAGAGAGTGAGATGCTTCGAATAACTGATTCTATTCTGGCGAGCCCGCTGTCCAAGAAGCATTTTCAATGTAAAAGCCTCACATATGAAAGTGTTGTGACATTGATAGATTCCATGATATCTTCAGAACTTAGTTTTAACACTTCAAATATGCATTTTTGGCATTTTTTACAAGATCATTACTAGAAACCACATCTGCCCATCTACGAGTAGGATTATTCGACAAATCCAAATGAGTTTTCAACTAATTACGTTTCAGCAAGGTGAGTTATCGTCTCATTACGAAAGGCTGGTTTGGAAGTGTTCCTCAGAAAGATGCGCCATATCACCTGATATGACGCCTCTAGATGTTTAAGGCATTTGGTACTACTATTATAATATGAGATATGTTTTTTTCGCCCAAGTTCATATTTTTTTAGATACTAGTGAAAATGCATACGTTGCTGCCATACTTCAGTTGAAATTTGAAAATTTGATTTATACTGGTACCCTCGAAAAGTGAAGTGGAACCAATTGAAAACCCGACTATTATTGAATATTCAACAATTCCCAAATTCGAATAAAGCGCAGCATCTATGGGGATTAAATTTTGGTAGCTAAAGTTAATAATCAGAAATTCACAAAATCCACAATTCCACAACTAACACAAGCGAATGGTTCAATAGCAACAACAGCCCTAGAAAAAGCAAATCTACTAGCTGAACAATGTGCGTTCTACTCCACAGTCGATTCGCTAAAAAAGGCACGATGACGAAAATTACTTTTTGACAACGTCTAGTTGGGCGAATTTTGATAGAGATCAATATCAACAAGGCTTCTGGTCCTGATGAAGTGCCCCTCATCGTACTTAAAAAGTGCGCCAATGAACTCGCACCAGTATTTTGCAGACTTTCCAACTTTACGAGGAAAGGATTTATACTTCTGGTTGGAAAATTGCTCGCGTTCAACCTATTCCCTGAAAGGGCAAGAAAAATCTTCCAAATAACTGTGTGGCAGTCGCTTTGTTATCAGTGATATCAAAAATCATAAAGTCGTAAATCGCCATATTCTTAAATATAGGGTGTAACTGAATAAGTGTTAAACATTTAAGGAGGTGATTCCTCATAGAAAAAAAGATAGGATCTTTCATATGAAGAAACTTCATTGGAGCATCCTTCGTTAAGATACAGCCCCTTAAAGGGGGTACATAAAATTTGTTTAACAATTTTTATCACAAGCACTGAAAAAATTACAATATTGAAATTAACCTGACGTTTTGTACTACCAAAAAGACACTTAGCCAGTAATTTATTTGGTTTACCTCATGGTTGTAAGGGCTGGAAAACGCAACCCCTAAAATTTATTTCCAATGTAACTTTTTGTCTTATCATTTGTTCACCTTTCAAAAATTTATTTCCGATAGCATGTTTCATTCTAAACAAAAAATGTCTCATGGGTTTTTTGCCCAGTTCACAGCAAAACATTATTTTAGGAACAACTACAGAGATACATCGTCATAAATGCGAACATAATTTATTGTTATTTTGTAGTTAGTACCTGCCTTAAGAGATTAAAGGGTAATATACAAAATTAATTTATTAATAACAAAACACACAACATGTAGAAATCATAGTAAATGTTCAATATGTCTATCTTCAGACATTACACATGCATCTAGATGTCGGCGCATTGAGCCACGTATTCGCTCAAATATTCCTGGAGTCTCTCTGATTACCCTGCACGCATCGATGCGGTTTCTTAAGTCCTCTACATCGCGAACAGGAGTACGATAAACCAAATGCTGTAAATGGCCCCAAATAGAGAAATCGAGAGGATTGAGATCCGGGCATCAAGCGGGCCAGTTCTGTGGTCTTCCTTAAGTGCTGACGTGCTACTTGACTAAAAACCCGTGATATTTTGACCCCATCTATACATTCCCGAGAGGAAAAGAGGAAGTCCAGGGACACCCTGTATAGATCAATAGTATTTCTGCATGAAGGTTGACGGTGATTATTTTTAACATTTGATGATAGGAAATAGATATTATAATTTTTGTACGTTTTGGTGAACATTTCAACTCTGGATGAGTGAAGGAAACTTCTGTTTTTTCAGAAAGTACAGAATGCGAAAAAAATTTTGAATACGGTGAACAATCCATTTCAACATCATGAAAAATATACATGAAAATAAAGAAGGAAAAACTTTACACATATTAATTTTTCACTTCACTATTATTCACTATAGTTATATTCTAGACACCCTCGCAACACAAAGAACATTATCTGCGCTTCAACGAAGCCAACTTCAAACGAATTGAATCACATCGCTGTATAATAGATGAATACGAAAAATTCCTACACTTTGGAGAATAGAAAAAGCACGTGCTTAACTGAAGTACACATATATTTCCACAACATAAAATATTATGCAAATTAGAAATGTGACAAAATATAGAATATTGAACTGGTGAGTTGATATTGGTGAATTGATTTTTTGAGTTCAACTATTTATTTGATCTCCATTCTCATTATTATGGAAAAGAAATTTACAAAATGAAAAAATACCTATATTTATCAACTCCCAAACAATGGTCTGAAATATGCTTGCGAACAATATGTATTTTTGAAACATGTAAATATGTAATTGTTATGCCCAACGATTTTATAATTTTTTCATCCGATGAACACCATAGAGAAAACTGTGTGATGACTGCTACCTAGGACCTTCCGAATTTTTTTTCTAGTTTTCAGTTCATTGTGCAATGAAACCGTTGAACATATTTTTTTTCTTTTATTCTATTTTCAAGTTTTTAGTTTCTGATTTTTATCCACACTAATACCACACAATTCTTGGCACGTTTTACCCTTTCACCTCCACTTGGGTGGTGTATCGCTAACGACGTATCATTTCAAGCCACACTAACGCCACACAGTCCTCTTTGTATACCTATATCATATTATATTTTCATCTGTTTCATATTGTACTACTATAGTACTAGTCAAGCCCTATCCTTTGATATCTATATCCTCCATTTTGTAGCTGCGGCCATCTTGAATTTGCAAATTCCTCAAAGTGTACTACCATTTTACTAGTCGAGCCCTGTCGTTTGATACCATATTGAGGAAATTTCAAAAAAGTACATAATACGCCATTCAGTAGCTGGGACCGACTTGAATTTGCATTTTTTCCAAAGTGTACTAATATTCTACTAGTCAAGCCCTGTTATCTAATACCCATATTGATGTAGTTTATAGTGATGTAGTGATGTTTCACACAATTGTCTTTGAAAGCTGGAACTATGAAATCGTCAGAAAAAGCATATTTGCTAATTTTTGACGAAATACCTCTGAAAAATGAAGTAGATTACAATAAGAAAACTGATTTAATCGAAGAACTGGTAGATTTAGGAAATGAACTGGGAAGAAGATCTGTACCGGCAAATCTCGCTCTAGTTATTATGATTCGTGGAATTTATTCATATTGGAAAATGCCCCTTGCATATTTTGTAACTGATGATGTAAATGCAAAAGATCTCCAGGCAATAATCTCAACTTGCTTGAATAAACTCTTATGTGCAAAACTAAATCCAAT